CCTCTGAAACCTTTTTAAAAAATTGGTGTCACATTAGCTATCTTCCAGTCATCTGGTACTGAGACTGATTTCATATTTGAGTGGTGAATACCATCTGCTGCTGGTGATTTATTACCATTAAATGTATCAATTTGTTCCAAAACCTCCTCTATCGACACCTCAGTCTAGGACAATTCCTCAGATTTGTCACCTAAAAAGAATGGCTCAGGTGTAGGAATCTGCCTCACATCCTCTGCAGTGAAAACTGATGCAAAGAACTCATTTAGCTTCTCCAGAAAGGCCTTGTCTGCCTTGAGTGCTCCTTTAGCACCTCAATCATTCAATGGCTCCACTGATTGTTTGGCAGGCTTCCTGCTTCTGATGTACTTAATTTTTTTGATATTTTTTGTGTCTTTTGCTAATTGCTCTTCAAATTCTTTTTTTGGCCTGCCTAGTTATATTTTTACACTTGATGTGCCAGAGTTTATGCCCCTTTCTATTTTCCTCATTAGGATTTTACTTCCAATTTTTAAAGGATGTCTTCTTGTCTCTAACTGCCTCTTTTAGTCTGTTGTTGAGCCTGGTGGGGTTTTTTGTTTTTTTTTTTGGTCCTCTTACTGTTTCTTGGGGAGGGGGGAGGGTATATATTTAGTTTGAGGCTCTATTATTGTGTTTTTAAGAAGTTTCCATGCAGCTTCCAAGCATTTCACTCTTGTGACGGTTCCTTTTAATATCCATTTAACTAGCTTCTTCATTTTTCTGTAGTTCCTTTTTCATTTTAAGTTAAATGATACGGTGGTGGGTTTCTTTGATATTTTCCCCCGACAAGATGTTAAATTTAATTACATTATGGTTGCTATTACCGAGCAGTTCAGCTATATTCACCTCTTGGAGAAGATCCTGTGTGCCACTTAGGACTATGTCAAGAATAGCCTCTCCCCTTTTAGGTTCGAGGACTAGCTGCGCCAAGAGCCATTAATGGCATCTAGCAATTTTATCTCTGAATCCCATCCTGAGGTAGCCAATACCCAGTCAGTACAGAGATAGCGGAAATCCCCAGTTATCACTGAGTTTTTTGTTTGGGTAGCCTCTATAACCTTCCTGAGCATTTGACAGTCACCATCACCATCCTGGTCAGCTGATCAGCAGTATATTCCTATTGCTATATTCTTATTATTCAAGCATGAAATTTCTGTCCATAGATATTCCATGGTACTGTTTGATTCATTGAAGATTTTTACCATATTTGACTCTATGCTTTCTTTCATATATAGTGCTGCTTCCCCAACAGCATGACCTACTCTGTCATTCCTATGTATTTTGTTCCCTGGTATTACCGTGTCCCATTGATTATCATCATTCCACCAAGTTTCTGTGAAGCCTATTATATTAATATCCTCATTTAATACCAGGCACTCAAGTTCACCCATCTTAATATTTAGCTTCTATCATTTGTGAACAAGCATTAATGAAATTTGCCAATATTTAGTTGTCTGCTTTCACGTGGTTTAACTGAATGGGACTCTTTCCTACCTGTACTTTATCAACTTCTATTCTCTCCTTTTTACTAGGATATGGATAATCCCCTTTAATAAATCCTCCCCTAAGGGATGTCTCTATCTGAACCATGTGCTCTTCTGCAACTGTTGGCTTTCCCCCAGCCCTTAGTTAAATAACTCATCTACAAACTTTTTATACACACCAGCAATCTGGTTCCATTTGGTGTAGATGGAGGCCATCTTCCCTTTACAGCTCCTTCCTTTCCCAAAAGGTTTCCTAGTTCCTAATAAACCTAAATCCCTCCTCCCAACACCATTGTCTCGTCCACCATTGAAATCCTGCAGGGATAGTCTCAGTGCCAAGAAGACATCATGACATCATCTGGAAGGAGGGTCCCAACTATGGGATCATTTCCTTCCACTACAGCGTGATGTTCTCCTTCCCTGAGACTTTCATCGTCCGCAACAGCACAGAGGCTGTCAGACTGGGGGTGGAACCCGCTTCTACTGAAAAGTCTCACGTATGTAATTCTGTCTCCTTTCACTCCTCCAATTCAGCCACTCTAGTCTCAACAGCCCATACTCTGTCTCTGAGGTCCATGAGCTGCATGCACTGAATGCACACATATGTAATGTGCCCACGAGGCAGGTAATCACACTTGCTGCATATGGTGTAATAAACTGGATAGCCCCACTCTGCTATCGAGGTCCCTGAAACATTAGCGAACGTGACTGAGGGGTGGGGCTTTGCACAGCCATGAACCTTCTCCCTACACCAATTGCCTTCTCAGACCCTCCAACCTCTGATCCATGAAGTCTCTTTGGAGTGGCACAGTGGCCTCCAACTCTGCAGCTCCAATCCTTGTTTTCAGATGGGGAAACTGAGGCAGACTGTTTTTAAAAACATATGCATAAAGCCCCACGTGCCAGAGCTGGGACTGGAAGCCAGGAGTTCCTGCTTCCCTGTCCCATGCTGTAACAGGGCTGGCTGCCTCCTGAGCACTTCCTTGTGGCCAGAGGTCACTCTGTGGTATCCTGCCACCAGTTTCTCCCCTATTCAGGGCCCCTTAACTCACAGTCCACAGGTAATTAAACTTTTCCTTCCTGGGGTCCCATTTATTGAGTCCTTACACCCTAGGATCCCAGGCCCCAAACCCAGTTCATCTGCTTTCTCCCTTTACATAGTCCCCAGTCCTCTGTCCCAGAGCTAGGTCTCAATTCAAACTCTCTCAGGTTTTACCTGACTAGAGCTCAGCCCTCCTCAGCCCCCTAGCTTCCAGGCCCCATCCTCCCAGTCAGGGTCTCTAGCAAGAACTGGGCCCAATCCCCCCAGCCTCAGCCTTCCTTCAGCACTCTGGGTCTGGTTTTCAGCCCCAAACCTTTCCCTCAGTCAGGCACCCTAGCAGGAGCCTCCTGCTCTTCTCCCCTTCACTGCAGCTCTTTATAGGACAAGGTAAGACTCATTCTGTAACCAGGGTTGGCTAGCCCCAGCCCTTCAGCAGCCAGCCACCCTGTTTCACATGCTCAACCAGAACACATCTACCCACTCTTGAATCCATCTTAACATGTTTGAGCATGTTTCATATTTTTTTTAACTCTTTTATATCCTGAGTGAGCAAATGTCTCCTGTACAGAGAGTTCCTACTGTATGGAGCAGAGAAACAGAATGGTTCAAGACTCTTGTGGAGTCAATATTCTCCACAGAAATTTTAGCCCACTCTTGCTCTTTTTGGTCTTGCACAGCTTAACAGCTACCGAGGCATTTCACACCATCTCCCACTTTGCGCCTGTTGAAATGTGGGAGACTCTTCAAAAAGAGTAAAATGTTTGCAGAGATTTCACCTAGAACCCAGGCTTCCCTACTCCCCGCCCCACCACCACCCAATGAATAGCTTTTATTATCTACACAGTGAGTTCAATATACAATCACACACATAGCTCTCCTTGAGGTATAGAGAGCACAGCACATATGAAGCTCCTCAACTAAGACATTTTTGAGCTGAAGGCCAAAAAAGCATGATGCCTCTCTTCCAAAAGTGAAATCATTGATTTTTGAAGTCACTTCTCTCCCATCTCACTTCAATCTAAAAAAAATAAATAAATCCTCCTACGGCAGGACACAATGTTGGGAGAATTCCACTTGGAAAGGACCTCTTGAGGGAAGTTGAGGGGAGGGGAGTTGTCAGTAATCAGTCTTATAATGGAACTTATCTTACTCCATTAACTGTGGAGTTCTTATGCTCTTAAGTTAGGTCAAATTGCTGATTTTTGCTGTTACCTCAAAGGGATTTCCCATCAATTCAGGTTCATATCTCCCGTATTTATACTGCAATGAGTTCTACCATTGAATTCCTGCTGTTCACTATTTTATCAGCGCAGAATTCAGACCCCGATGGCTTCATACAGCATTTTAAGAGATCACAGTGAATAGCGCTTACATGGGACCAGGTTTCTAAACTTCACTCTCATGGCTGTAGTGCGCTGTGCTAGAGACACAAGGACAAATTCATAGATTCCAAGGCCAGAAGGGACCAATGATCACCTCGTCTGATTCCCGTCTAACACGGGCCAGAGAACTTCCGCACGATAATTCCAACGCACCACCTCCTACTCTCAGAGTCAGAGGAGGGAAAGGTCCGCAGGGGTCAATGGCCACTTGGACTCATCTCCAAAGAACCCCCATGCTCCAGCCTCAGCAAAATTTCCCTGTCAGACACAACGAGAAGAAATGACGGAGAGGAAAGACAGACTTGCCCAGGCCTATGGAGGCTAGGCAGAGACTCTCAGGGCCGGCCTCCAACTACAAAATATTACCATGATTGAATATAGATGTGAAGAATCAAATTAGCTGACATGATGCTAAGCATGACTTTGCAATCAACACAGACCAGGCTTAATTAGCATTAGCTGACACGATGCTGGTCTACACTGACTCCAAACCCATGGTCAACCTGTCAGCTAACCTGACTCTGCACAATTCAAAACTTGTGTGTTGTGTAGCGTAGACTAGCACTCATTGTCTTAGGGTCTGGCTATGCTGCAGTTACAGGGTGTGACTGCAGATTGAGTCAACATATCTGAGCTAGCTTTAAGCCTACTAGCTCGAGCACCAGAGCAGTGAATCTAGGGCAGTGTACACTCCAGCACAGGTTAGCCCACATGGAAGCGCATGTTGCCATGGGGTCACTGCTCCTGCACCCAAGCTAGCTAGACAGAATCTAGTTTAGAATCTAGAATCTTGTGTGTCTACACAAGATGCAGTCACACCCTTGGATTGCAATATAGACATACTGTGATGGAATATACCCCTGTATTCACACTCTACACACTATTGCAATAATCTTTGTACAAGGTATGCCTTGTAAAGTATCATTTGAAAATTCATAATTTGCTGGTCATTATTGTCCTGGTAAAATATGTGTGGCAATATGTATGTGAAGTTATAAAATCCCCCTGGACGATGTTATTAACCCATGTTCCAAACCCAACAGCCCCGCCCAAGCAGAAGTCAGCGGACAGGTCTGTCCTAAACAAAGGAATGTGTGCTTGCTTTACTTTGCATTTAACCAGTCAACAGATTCATCAAGCGCAAAGGGAAACAAAGGACGTTCAAACAGATGAAAAAATCCAGCAGGGAACATCCTTCCACATAGACTCTGTGACTCCTGGTTCTCAGCTGGAAACGTTTTTTGAGAGGGTGATGGAAACTATAAAAAGGAGGGGCAAACACCCCAATAAACCCCTCTCTCTTCCCCTGCCCATCTCATTCTCTGCACCTGAGAAGACAAAAGGAAACAGCTGTTGGACTTGGTGGAAGGGTCCCGATCTGAAAGTTTGGTCAGTAATCTGCTGGTGCATGTGGTGAGAAAGTGTGCTTTGCAACTAAAATAATTCCCTAAGCAGATACTAGTAAGCATTTTATCTTTATTTTTCTTATAACCATTTCTGACTTTTATGCCTCATTACTTGTACCCATTTAAAATCTCTCTTTGTATTTAATAAACAGTTTTATCTAATTCAGAGTGTCTAAATTCAAGTGTCTGGGTAACAATTTAAGGTAATAAACTGTCATATTTTCCCTTAAAGGAATAATGGACTTTATATACTTGAACTGTCCAGCTGGGCAGTACAGGACATACATGTCTGGAGGAAGATCCAGGACTGGGGATGTGTTGGAGTCACCCTGCAGTGTAACCCACGCTGCTGAGAACCAGGGTGCAGCTGGCAGGCTGCAGTTACACACAGTCACTGAGGGTGTAGCTTGCATGCTGGAACACTGTTTGTGAGTGACCCAGGTGGGAGCTACTACAGCCTCCAACTAGTCTGGATTGTGCCCGGTACGTCACACAGAGGAATACTAGCTAGTTTCCCCACCACAGGCCTGGGTCTGAATAAAAGCAGCTGCAATAAGGCTAAATTAAAGCAATAATAATGAGACCAAATGGCCTGATATATTACCATGACACCTGCAGAAAGTGTCATAGCCTGTGTCTACACTAGCATGTATCTGAAAATCTCCAATCATCTAAGTGGCAGCACCAGCAAAGACATTTTCTCACTCCGTCATCAAGCCTCACTCAGCCCATCTAGACGACAAAATGCTGTGAATGCCAGTGGCTGGTCTACACTAGTACTCCACCAGTGGAGCTGCACGGATGGCAGCACAATTGTGCAATGATAGGAAATGTTAAGAAAAACAGCAGTTTCAAGAAGATACAGTTCTTTGAAGAGGAACAGACCTAGCTGTTCCAAGGGTCGTATTGCCCAAATCGCTCGCTGTGACAGAGGTAAAAGAAGTTACTTGCATGCTGCTCTGAAACAATGAGTCGCCCAGTTCAGAGGAGGCTGTGCTCCTTTCCTCAGTTATGCCTCCCCGGGAGTATTTGGAGAAATCTCAAAGACAGTGGGATGCAACAGGTAAGAGGCGATATCAGGAGAGCACAGCAGTTTGTGCCATGGTTTTTAAAGCAACCAATCAAATTCAGCAGTCCTGGGACTCTCAGATCTTGGATTTCTGGCTCCCAAGCAAGCTCAGAACTTGGCAATTGCTCAAATTACACTTCCCCGAGGATGTCTGCCAGAGGAAGAATCAGACTGTGTCAGCAGCTGCCCGTTTCACTGGCAATGCCCATGCATATCTGAATTTAACCCTAGAAATAAGGGAACAGATGGGATCGAGAGGCAACATATTACTCTTTAGTCCAAGGGCCAAATTCAGCCCTGGTTTAAATAGGCTCACCTCTTACTGATTTCAATAGGATTTTCAATCTGCTTACACCAGGGCTGATGTCAGTACAAAAACCTTTCAAGATCAGGTCTCCAATTGACTCTTTCTTCACATTAGAGTAAATTTCTTAGCTCTGAGGGGACACATGAATCTCCCATTCCCTGATTGTTTCGAATGCCCATTCTTCTGTGAGCAGTGCCCTTCCCTTCCCAGGGCGTTAGATGGGCATAAAAGCCACTGTACCCAGAACACTGAAGAGAAGTACTAGGATTTGCACTTTAAATGTTAAAATTCAAGTATAATTTTAAGAATCCCATTAAAATGCAAAGCTACAGCCTATGGGGCAGCAGAACACTTGTGCTGTTCTCTTTTTGCTTTGATTAAAGCCATTTTTTCATCTTCTTACTAGCTGAATTTACAAGATCTATGAAAATGAGAAGAAACTGGCCCAGATTATTAATGAGGCTGGCTAGAAAGACCTGCATCTCAAGTACAGGAAAGCAAAGCCAAGCCCCCTCCTAACCTCAATTCATTAGAGCAGGCGACGCCGCCGCTTGGTCAGGGAAAGCCCCTAGTGGGCCAGGCCGGTTTGTTTACCTGCCGTGTCGGTGATCGGCCGAACCTGCGGACGCGGCAGGTAAAGAAACCAGCCCAGCCTGCCGGGGGCTTTCCCTGACCAAGCGGCGGAACAAGTCTGGGAAACACTGCCTTAGAGGAACCACTAGCAAACGAGTAGATCTCCCCAAATAGAGCCCCCTTTATCATTTCTTTAAATAAACATTACTGTCATGCTTTGTCTTTCTGACGTACTGTTTGCACCTACCACAGAAATTTCACCTCTCACTGCCCTAGGGTTTCCATCTCTAGCCATTCCCAGCCCACAGGGCCTTAACACTGTCTTTTAGGGACACACAGGTGCTTAAAGGAGGCCTGCTCCCATTTGGTTCAGACGTTCACAGGGCGTGAAGCCCTTCGTGCCACTCAGAGAACAGAAAGGATCTGCAACTGAAGGCTTTAATAAAAATTTTTTTTTCCCGAGCATACACCTGGTGGCAGCCATCTTGCTGAAGACACACACAGCATGACACTGGCAGAGAAGGGGTCCCAGTGAGACACAGTCCTGCTGGAATGCTGTTGTCAGGAGCAGAAGGACATTCATGTTTACAATCTCTAAATACGTTCAACATTAAGCTATGGTTATTTCATTCAGTTGCTGTATCCAGTAACACAGCAGGATAGAAACTAAATGGCCCGTTCTCTTTTTTTTTTAAAATATTTAAAAATGAATATTTTAAATTCTCTGCCAGTGTCATTCCTCAGCCAGCTAGTGGCTGCCAACAGGGCACTCACGTGACTTTATTTCTTTATTTAAAACTCTATTTTCAAATCTATTTCACAGTCAGAACTGTACATGGAGGAAGAATCCCTTGCCTTGGGAGTTTTCCAATTGCTTCTGTTGAACAGAATGGCTGCAATTTTTCTTCATTCATCCCCCTCCCCCCTCAACACACACACACACCCCTTTCTGTTTCAGAATCACAGAAAAGAGAAAGACTTCCTTACTGTACGTTTTCTAGTTTTCCATCCAGCCCGGTTTTAGGAGTTCGAAGTAGCAGGGCAGCTACCCCTTCCCTTGGGAGATAATTGCACTGTCTAACAGAGCTCACCATTACAACTTTCTCCTGGCACTCAGCCTTTTCTTCATTTTCCTCTGTTCATCCTAGGTTTAACCCCATTGTATCATTCCTAAATTATTCCTCTCTCTCTCTCTCTGGGATTAACACGTTTCAAATAGCGTTCATGAAATTGAACTGCCTGCAGCAGAGACCATACAGACAGGCTCTGAGCGAGTTCATCAATCACAGCTCTGAGAGTGGACTTCAACCCTGACCCCCTCCCCCTTCCCCATCTACTCTAGTCCTTGGACTTCCTAGAGCAGAAACTGCTCATTGCACCCGTTTGCTCATTTCAAAATGTGGGTGAGAGGGGAGCAGCAGGAGTGTCGCTCTGTACTAGTGCCTATCACTGTAAAACGATGATTAACAGACTTCATGCTTGTTTCTGGCCTAGCTGCACATTTGAACTCAGGACTCCGGAAGAGGCAGGCCTCTGCACAGACATCACCACTATTTTTGCAGGACATACAAAAACAATGTTTTTTGGCTCGGCAGCAGGGATTGTCCCATTTGTAAAGCATCCAGCACAATGGGGCTCCAGTCCCGACTGGGGCCTCTGAAGGGCTTCCAGGATATAAATGTTCGCTACTATGACAGTGGCCCTTGCGTTATTTATTTGGATAGTCAAAGTTCATTTACTGTGTCCCCACATGTTCAGTTTTTCATGTGCCACAGTGCAGGGGTTTTGGTGACCATGAGTAACGGCATCATAGACGTTATCAAGGGAAACCTGAGGTTTTAGCTGCTTGGCTTGCGGCAACTGGTGAGGAACGGGAAGTGGCTGGCAGCTTAACTGAGTGTTTCTTCTAACATGACCAGCAACGACAAAGCTAACGCCTACATGTAAAGTAGCATTGTTAGGTTTCAGAGTCAACTCTCTATTTGACCCGAATGTGCTAGTTCACTTCTCTCACAGCTACTGTTCCAGGCTGCCTTCAAACTGAAGCAGACAACCTGACATTGGTTACAATGGTGTCACATTTTCAGTTACCTTCACCACCATGAAGGCAAGAAGCATGATTTCCCCCTCTCTCCCCGCCTCCAGGAAAAGCTGAGATTCTGCAGCACAATTCCATGTTCACAGAATACACGGGATGCTGGCAACGGTGAACAGAAAATTAAATGTATGATATGGTGGCAATGGACAGTCACTTGCAACTATCAGGTCAGAAACAAGAAAACAAAAATGCCTGAATGGCATTGGTGAGACTGCACTTACAATACTATGCAGCTCTTGGTTCCTCATTATCTGAACGATATCTGCAAACCAGAGAGAATGAAAAAGTAACAGAACTGTGTAAGGGTCAGAGGGACTGATTTATGAGGAGTTAAACAACTAAATATATACACTTGGATTAAATAGCAACTAAAAAGCTACGATATCAAACTACAATTACCTGAAAAGCAAAAATACCAACAGATCTCAAAAAGGACAATTAAACTAGGAGAAATTGTATGAAATTCCAGAAAGGAAAACAGTCTGGATATCCAGAATAATTTGTGAGATCTCTTGTATAGACTCCCAATTTCTAATTTCTCTGTCACTGGGGATCTGCTGCAGCTTCTTAGAATAACTTTCGGCAGTAGCCCCCAGGCAGCGTTACAAAGGCAAAACCTCAGCAACTCCGTTCAGTTTCATTCTGAAGCCGATGCCTTTGCTAGGAAGCATAACTAAGCATAAATACTCTCCAGAATGTAGACAAAAGGTGCCTGCTGAGATGCAGAGAGTCCGGTAAAATCTGGGTTAATGGTGTTACTATTTATAACATGATAATGCCCAGACCCTCAAGGGAAGATCTGGGCCACATTATGCTCCATTCTGCATAAACTCACAAAAAGATACAGTTCCTGCCCCAAAGAGCTTACATTTAAGGGCCCCAATCTTACAACTGGATCCACATGGATGGACCCTTAACTTCAAGGGGATCCTGTGTGGGCACAAGGGTCTGTCTGCATCGATTCAACCGCAGCAGTGTGGGAATACAAGTTGCAACACATGGGTGTAGCAAAAACCAGAGGGGAAGGAGGGAGGATGACAAGAACAGTTACTTACGTGGGCTAGCGATACATACACTTTAATGGTTCCAGGATATTACAGACACCCACTTCAGCAAGCTCACTGACATCTAAGACCTGCTGCTGAAAGTAAACCCTGGTCCACTGATTAAGGACATCCAGAAGTAAAACCTGGCCCAACTGATTCGGACAGTCACACAACAGCCATGGAAAGCTCTCTGGAAGTCAGGGTGAAACAGCCTCACAAGGTAGGCTCAGGGATAAAGCCAGTGTTCGATGCACACATCCCTTTCAAGGGCTGGAGGGTATATCAGATCCCTTCCTACAACCTCCTGTCGATCTGCCACTCACCAGAACATCCATTCAGACAGCTTTTGCCACAGCTCCTGGGAAGATTTTCAGACCCACACACAACCTCCTCACCCCCAGCAAGTGGGTCAAGTCCACTTACACAACCTCTTGCAAGGCCTTCCCCTCCCTAAACCCCCCACATTCTCACACAGGTTCACATCTCTTCTCCCCACCCTGAGTTTACTGCCCCTAACCTAGAGGGTGTCAAAACCTACACAGCACTCCTGCCCTCCTTTGCCATATGGGGAGTGGGGAGACTTTTTATTCTAGTCAAGACAATCCACTCACACAAGTGCGCCTTCCTTCCGGACCCGCGAGTGTGTCAGAGCCACTCACGCAATCAGCTGCCCAGGCCCTGCAGCAAGCGTGTCACATTCAATAATACTTCATTGCCATGTCAAGCTCTACGCTGTCAGAGCACACAAAACAGACACCTCAGATCACCTCTGTGCGCAGACACAACACATCAAGCCCCCCAAACACATACACACCAAGCCCCAAGCCCAGCAAGAGCAGGGTTTGACATGACACCAAACCTCAGTGAGGGATGGAGCATCACAGTGTGTTTAGGGTTTGATCACTTGTTTGTCACATTCACTCACACAACCTCCCTGGCCACCCCACCCTGCCACTGCAGACGTGCAGTACTTCCCCTCACACCAGCTCCATCTTTCCAGGAATGCCAGACCCCCCCACCCAGATACACACAGTCCCTCACTACCCCACGTGCCAGAGCCGTCAGAGTGGGGGTGTCGGGGGTCTGCCACTCCCTGGCTACAGGAGTGCTTGGGGGGTCACCTGAATGCATCCAGGGGTGACATCTCCAACACACGCGCACACCCCCCTCCCTAGAGGGCTATGACTCTTGCACTCCTGGATCCAGGGGGTGAGAGAGCAACATACACCCCCTCCCCCCACCCCACCCCATCTCCCCCTCCCCCCGCCCCACGAGGGGCCAGCCCCCCCACCACAGCCCCATCTCCCCCTCCCCCCACCCCACGAGGGGCCAGCCCCCCCACCACAGCCCCATCCCCTCCTCCCCCCGCCCCACGAGGGGCCAGCCCCCCCACCACAGCCCCATCCCCTCCTCCCCCCGCCCCACGAGGGGCCAGCCCCCCACCACAGCCCCATCCCCTCCTCCCCCCGCCCCACGAGGGGCCAGCCCCCCCACCACAGCCCCATCCCCTCCTCCCCCCGCCCCACGAGGGGCCAGCCCCCCCACCACAGCCCCATCCCCTCCTCCCCCTGCCCCACGAGGGGCCAGCCCCCCCACCACAGCCCCATCCCCTCCTCCCCCTGCCCCACGAGGGGCCAGCCCCCCCCCCCCCCCCCCCCCCCCCCCCCCCCCCCCCCGAGGGGCCAGCCCCCCACCACAGCCCCATCCCCCCTCCCCCCGCCCCACGAGGGGCCAGCCCCCCCCACAGCCCCATCTCCCCCTCCCCAAGCCCCACGAGGGGCCAGCCCCCCACCACAGCCCCATCTCCCCCTCCCCCCGCCCCACGAGGGGCCAGCCCCCCCACCACAGCCCCATCTCCCCCTCCCCCCGCCCCACGAGGGGCCAGCCCCCCCACCACAGCCCCATCTCCCCCTCCCCCCGCCCCACGAGGGGCCAGCCCCCCCACCACAGCCCCATCTCCCCCTCCCCCCGCCCCACGAGGGGCCAGCCCCCCCCACCACAGCCCCATCTCCCCCTCCCCCGCCCCACGAGGGGCCAGCCCCCCCACCACAGCCCCATCTCCCCCTCCCCTCGCCCCACGAGGGGCCAGCCCCCCACCACAGCCCCATCCCCTCCTCCCCTCGCCCCACGAGGGGCCAGCCCCATCTCCCCCCCAGGAGGGGCCAGCCCCCGCCCCACTCTCACTCCAGGGGAACCAGCCCCGGGGGCAGCCCCAGCTCACCGCGCGGAGCTCCCCCGTCCGGTCCTTCATGCTCGCTCCGCCCGGCGCCCGCTCGGCTCGGCGCTGCCTCCCGGCTCCAGCTCCGGCTCCGGCCGCGGTCGGGGGCGGGGGGAGGCGCGGCACATGCGCCGGAGCCGGGCGGGCGGCGGGCGCAGCGAGGGCCCCGGGGGCACCGGCCTGGGGTTGCGCAGACTCCGGGGCCGCTGGGGGAGCGAGGGCGCGTGAGGGGGCCCCGGGGGTCACACCTGGGGTGTGCAGGGGCGGGGCTACACTGGGGTGCGGAGTTACACTTCGGTGGAGGTGGTTACACCTGGGGGGGTGCTAGTGCGGGGGGCTTGCACCTAGGGGTGGGGGGGTTTACCCTTGGCTGGGGCTGTGCTAGAATCATAGAGTATCGGGGTGGAAGGGACCTCAGGAGGTATCTAGTCCAACCCCCTGCTCAAAGCAGGACCAATCCCCAATTAAATCATCCCAGCCAGGGCTTTGTCAAGCCTGACCTTAAAAACGTCTAAGGAAGGAGATTCCACCACCTCCCTAGGTAACGCATTCCAGTGTTTCACCACCCTCCTAGTGAACAAGTTTTTCCTAATATCCAACCTAAACCTCCCCCACTGCAACTGGAGATGATTCCTCCTTGTTCTGTCATCAGCTACCACTGAGAACAGTCTAGAGCCATCCTCTTTGGAACCCCCTTTCAGGTAGTTGAAAGCAGCTATCAAATCCCCCCTCATTCTTCTCTTCTGCAGGCTAAACAATCCCAGTTCCCTCAGCCTCTCCTCATAAGTCATGTGTTCCAGACCCCTAATCATTTTTGTTGCCCTTCGCTGGACTCTCTCCAATTTTTCCACATCCTTCTTGTAGTGTGGGGCCCAAAACTGGACACAGCACTCCAGATGAGGCCTCACCAATGTCGAATAGAGGAGGACGATCACGTCCCTCGATCTGCTCGCTATGCCCCTACTTATACATCCCAAAATGCCATTGGCCTTCTTGGCAACAAGGGCACACTGCTGACTCATATCCAGCTTCTCGTCCACTGTCATCCCTAGGTCCTTTTCTGCAGAACTGCTGCCTAGCCATTCGGTCCCTAGTCTGTAGCTGTGCATTGGGTTCTTCCGTTGTAAGTGCAGGACCCTCATCAGATTTCTTTTGGCCCAATCCTCCAATTTGTCTAGGTCCCTCTGGATCCTATGCCTGCCCTCCAGCATATCTACCTCTCCTCCCAGTTTAGTATCATCCGCAAATTTGCTGAGAGTGCAATCCACACCATCCTCCAGATCATTTATGAAGATATTGAACAAAACCGGCCCCAGGACCGACCCCTGGGGCACTCCACTTGACACCGGCTGCCAACTAGACATGGAGCCATTGATCACTACCCGTTGAGCCCGACAATCTAGCCAACTTTCTACCCACCTTATAGTGCATTCATCCAGCCCATACTTCTTTAACTTGCTGACAAGAATACTGTGGGAGTCCCAGTCCCAGGGGTGGTGGGGCTAAGCAAGGAGAGTGAGGGCATGGGCACAGTGCTGCTGGGGCGTGACCCTGGTGGAGAGGGAAGCACCCCTGAGAGCAGTGTGTGTGCTGAGGGTAGCAACCCTAGTCAGCATGGGGTTACAACAGATACAAAGTGTGCTTGGCAGGAGTAGTAGGGGGAGCAGTGGTGATGGGCTCCAGCGAGTGAGGTAATCCCAGGGGGAGAGCTGCAGGGCTGGCCCTTCAGGGAGCATTCTTGGAGTTACAATGAGGGGAACCATCTCAGGGGGGGACAGTCTTGGGACCAGTTCAAGTGGGAGTCAGCAACCCCATGGGGGTTATGGTGGAGAAGCAATCCCAGGGGTTTGCAATGGATTGAGCAAGCCCCCCAGAGGGGGAGTTACACTGGGGATGATCCTGGGGAAGGTTAACTGTTGGGTGCTGATTCTGGGGGGTTGTGATGTTACATGGACAGGATGAACCAACCCCAGGGGTGAGGGGGTTACCCAAGGCTAGCAATCTTCCCACAAAGACAAGAAGAGATACAGAGACACACAGTAAAAGGAAAACAGCCAGGAAAAGCATCTGTATAGTGCCATTGTGTCTTTGGTCCCAACTGAGCTCTCCTGTTTACTGCTAGAGCAACCTCAGAAGCTGAAGACCTGGAAAAAAAAAGGCTGTTGACTAAAACAACAAGGAGTCAACAGACTAACACCCGCTCTGAAGTCTGTTGACTGTTTGCGACCTGACTGCAAGGAACTTATTACGTCAAAGAGAAAAGTTATTGCCCAGAGTCTCGGTCTTGTTTGGTGAATGGCTGCTATTCAAGGTGATAAACTGTTCTAGCTGAGAAGGTGGATTAATTATTACTGAGCAGCCACAGATGTCAAGGGCACCAATTTGGATGATGAGCCAAATGAGTTAATGCTTTTCAGAATGACTTTTCTTAGAGAGCTACAGGGCTTCTCTGCATTGTGTGCAGAAATATTAACAGTCAAACTGATTGTACTTTCTTGGTTGTGACATATGCTGTGTCAGGACTGTACAAACCTGTGATTGGGCTGTCAATGTTAATTGCCAGGATGTTTCACCAGCATGTATTCCTTCACTTAATTATTTGTTGTGTAAATATATATATTTTCTGAGGTAGCTGACGGTTTATATAGGAAGCTTTCATTTATTGCCAAAATCTACAGCCTCTCCAGTCCATCTAGAAACTTAGGTTTACAAAAAGTCCCAACTCTGGGGCATGATTTGAAATCTAAAATGATTTTCTTCAAAACCGAAGTCACAGTCAAGTAGTCCTAGTCCCATAAAGGTGTATTTTGTGTGGGTCTGTGTGATCATTTGAAAGCTTCCCCCCCAGCCCCCTTCCTCAGACGTTCTTGTCAACTGCTGGAAATGGCCCACCTTGATTATCACTACAAAAGGTCCCCCCTGCTCCCCCCACCGCCCCGCTCTACTGCTGGTAATAGCTCACCTTTCCTGATCACTCTTGTTACAGTCTGTATGGTAACACCCATTGTTTCATGTTCTCTGTGTATATAAATCTCCCCACTATTTTCCACTGAATGCATCCGATGAAGTGAGCTGTAGCTCACGAAAGCTTTATGCTCAAATAAATTGGTTAGTCTCTAAGGTGCCACAAGTCTTCCTTTTCTTTTTGCGGATACAGACTAACACGGCTGCTACTCTGAAACCTGTGGTTAAATTATTCATAGTTGTTTTTTTTTTAAGTCCAGAAAGGACCATTATGGTCATCTAATTTCTAGTGTGACTTCCTGCACAGCACCATGCCTTAGAATTTCATCAAGTCATTCCTGCATCTAGTCCAGCAATCTGTGATTAAACTAAGGCATATGTTTTAGAAAGACCGCCAAACTCATTCACTGGGAGACTCTAAATTCAGAATTCACCACATCCCTTGATCATGTGTTTGAGTAGTTAAATTCTCTCACTGTCAAGACATGTCTGTCTTATAGCCAGTTTGATTGTTATTGACTGTACTAGATTAAATAGTCCTCTACTATGAGAAATCTTAGAATCCTAGAAGATTAGGGTTGGAAGAGACCTCAGGAGATCATCTAGTCCAACCCCATGCAGGACCAACCCCAACTAAATCATGCCAGCCAGGGCTTTGTCAATCCAGGCTTTAAAAACTTCTAATGATGGAGATTCAACCACATCCCTAGGTAACCCATTCCAGTGTTTTACCACCCTACTTGTGAAATAGTTTTTCCTAATATCCAACCTAGACCTCCCCCACTGCAACTTGAGACCATTGCTCCTTGTTCTGTCATCTGCCACCACTGAGACCAGCTGAGCTCCACCCTCTTTGGAACCCCCCTTCAGGTAGTTGAAGACTGCTATCAAATCCCCCTTCATTCTTCTTTTCTACAGACTAAATAAGCCCAGTTCCCTCAGCCTCTCCTCATAAGTCATGTGCTCCAGCCCCCGATCATTTGTGGCCCAACTACAGAAAGGATGTGGACTCTCTCCAATTTGTCCACATCCTTTCTGTAGTTGGGGCACCAAAACTGGATGCAATGCAATGCAAAGGCCTCTCCAGTGCCGAATAGAGGGGAATAATCACTTCCCTCAATCTGCTGGCAATGCACCTACTAATACAGCCCAATATGCCATTAGCCTTCTTGGCAACAAGGGTACACTGCTGACTCATATCCAGCTTCTCGTCTACTGTAATCCCCAGGTCCTTTTCTGCAGAATTGTTGCTTAGCCAGTCGGTCCCCAGCCTGTAGCAGTGCATCGGATTCATCCGTCCTAAGGGCAGGAATTTCTGTGTGTAGGCATTTACAGAACATGACCAAGGCAACTCTTAGCTTTCTCTTCCATAATCAAAATAGATTAAGCTCCTTTAGTATCTCATTGTATGGCATGTTGTCCAGGCCACAAATCATTCCCATAGTTCTTCTCTGAAACCTGTTTAATTTTTCATTGTTTTAAAAGTGTGGACACCAGAATGGTACACATTTATCAAGTAATAGTCTCATCAGTGCTGTATACAGAGGTAACAACACCTCTCTACTCCTACCTGATATTCCCATTTGCTTAGCCAAGTATCATATGAACCATTTTAGCCACAGCATGGGACTGGGAGCTCCAGTTCAGTTAATTAACCACTGTGAGCCCTAATCCATGTCAGAGTCACTGCAGTCCAGAAATAGAGTTCCCTGTCATGTAAGTATGGCCTGCTTTGTGCCTAGATGTAGAACATTGCATTTGGCCATATTAAAATACATGTTTGGTGGAGCCAGCTTACCAAGCAATCCAGTTCACTCTGTATTTGTGCTACTCTATGCGTCCTTGTGTTACCTGCATATGTTGTTATCAGTGATTTGATGTTTTAATCCATATCACTGATACAAATATTAAATAACATTGGCAAAGAACTGATCTCCTCAGGGCCCCACTAGAAACAATCCCACTCATTTACAATTCCCCATAAACAATTAGATTTTGTGATCTGTCAGTCAGGTTTTAATTCATATAATATAGGCTATATTGATTTTTACAGTGCTAATTTTATAATCTGAATGTGGTGTGGTACTAAGTCAAACACTTATCTCTGCATTTGGCACTGGTGCGACTGCTGCTGAAATAGTTTGCAGTTCTGATGGCCACACTTCCAGAAGGAGACTGATAAATTA